TAAGGTAATATGAGATAAGATAATATGAGATATGATGAGATGAGATATGATGAGGATCTCCACTTAAAGAAATTTGCTGCTGCTTGGTAAATGCATATATACGCACACGATCATGTCAACACGCACACATTCACACACACACACACACACACACGCACGCACACATGCATGCACGCACGCACGAACGCATGCACACACACACACACACACACACACACACACCCCGAGACACTCACCAATTTCCTCTTTTACATATCTCGACAGAAACTCCAGCTCTTCTGGTTTTTGGCTGGTCTACAACGGTTTCGATACGTGTAAGTAGAGTAAACTGTGTTACCATGCGGTGGAATCAGGTGCTCATCAATTTTTGGGCGTATGGAGTTATTGGTATCGCCTTCAAGCTTGTTCATTTGTCTAGCTTTTGGAGAAAAAATATCCATCTATCTTGAATAGAAGTTGAGAAATTTGCGATTGAAGAAGGTGGGGATGGCCTTGTGTCAGAGGTAAAACTAACGAGAAAATGGCCGCCATAGTTTGATGACTTCCAAAGACTGAGTGTGCTTGGAAACTGCAAAGTTACTTTTTTTGTGTGTGGCTTTCATCAACATTTTCCAGTAAAATCTACACAGAAGTGTGTTTTTAAATGGACATGAAAGGTGACGAGCTAAGAAAATAAAATAAAAAAACAATAAAAATAAAGTAACGGCTAGGAAAATGCCGTTTTTAAAAATTTCATTATTTTGACGAGTGCCTAATTTCACCACATTGTCTCACATTTGCATAATTGCGAGCAAACTGTTCAAATGTACTAAGGGTAACCTGTTGATTGGTCTTTGTTCAAATCCACTTCCAAGTCTGTGATATTGATTCTATGCGCTCAAGAAATATTTCGTTGAAATTCAAATTCTAAATTGTCGCCATCAGCATGACCAAAATCGTCACCATCAAGAAAAGACACACATCAATTAGGTTCAGTTGTTATAAGAATTAAGGAGATTTTTTTTATGTTCTCTTGTAAGATTTTGCTTTCTGGGCTTAGAACATTTGAAGGGCTTGTTGACAGTATACATTTTTGCTTCCTTTTTTAAGAGCCACATTTTATCAGCCCACTGCACGTTTGCTGTTTTCAGAGAAGTCTCTTCTGTAAAATATGTATGTTTTGTGTGCTGTCGGCCAATGGCCTTTAAATACTGAAAAAAACAAAAAAAAACAAAACAACCCCCCCCCCCCCCCCCCCC